TGTGGCTCCAACCACAGGGATTCACTTAACAACTGTGGCAAGAAAGGTCATAAAATGGGTCAAAATTAAATTAACAGTCCCATTTAGCAAGAGACATTTGGGGCTCAATTGTGGTTGTAAGTCGAGGACTACCTGTAATTTAACCTCACTGGGCTTGTCAAGAAGATCCTTACAACAAAAGAGGACTTAATGGATGAAGCTGAAACCAAAAATTTACAGGTTTGGACCTGGATCATTCTGAGAAGGGAGGATACCTATTACAAAGGAAGAATAGGGAAAAACTCAAAGGATTAGCTGGGTTCAGTTTTGCCTCTTTTACACAGTGCTACTTCACTCACCGTCAGTGCTCTCCACATCAGAATCAAAAAAAGGCTCATAATCTTGGCTTGGAGAATCTTCGTCCATCACAAACAGACCTAGAAATGGAGTGTTATCTTAAAATGTAGAATGACAGTGGCTGTCCATACAATATCCCTCATGTTACACCCCTGTCCCTCAACATAAATGTTATCATCCCATCTGAATGGAAATGCTGCCTTTCTCATACCATTTTTTAGAATTAATCCTTTTGTGTCCAAAAATAATACCGTCACAGTTGGAAGATATCAAAAAGCTTGGATGAACATCAAGGTTTTCTAAATACAGCACAAGTGATGGTGTGTGTGTGTTTGAAACAAAGACCAGTGACAACCAATCATGCTCAATATAATAGTTTTCAGCAACTAACTTGGAACCTGAAACAAAGCCCACTTCAATGGCTGCTTGAAGGTCCTAATTTAATTTATACATTTCCTTGAAGGTAAAGGAAAAGGCAGAATGTATACACCAATCTTCAAGTGCTACAAGAACAGTATAAGATGGAAGAAAGGATGTCATAATAGCTTAATAGGTCTGTTCTGTTTAGTAAATGTGGATTAAGGTTTACTTTATTGCAACTAAATGAGTCTGTGGACCTCCCATGCACACAGACTCCTTTCATGTCAGCAGATGACAATAACACATCTGAAAGTAATGTACTTCAAATACGAGAAGCCAATTTTAAAAGGAAGGTATTACATTGGAGGACATTACAGAGAGCCAGGATAACACAAGATACTAAAGCAGAAAGTGTTAGGCCATGAGTTCTAATCCTCCCTTAGGCATAGAAGTCAGTTGGAGGACTTTGAGCCAAACAATCTCTTCAGCCTAACCCACCTCACAAGATTGTTGTTCTGGGGAAAATGGGAGAATTATGTATGCTATAAAATGTATTTTATATTATGTATAAAATAAAGGTGGGATATGTCAAATAATGTTATAGCACTTATTTCTGTTTATATAAGTAATCCTTGACTTACAATCACTCATTTAGGAACCATTTGAACAACACTAAAAATGATTTATGACTGATGCTCTTACAACGGTCACAGCATTGCCACAAATCAAAATTTGGGCACTTGGCAACAGGTATTTATGATGCTTGCAGTGTACTGGGATCCTGTGATTGCTGTTTGCAATCTTCCCAGTCCACTTCTGACAAGCAAAGTCAATGGGGAAACCAGATTCACTTAACCAGGTTACTAACTTAACTGCAGTGATTCACTTAACAACTGTGGCAATAAAGGTCATAAAATGGGACAAGACACACTCAACAAATGTCTCAGAAAATTTTGGGCTCAACTATAGTCATAAGTTGAGGACTACCTGTATAGTCCACGACACTCTTAACTTTATTTTGGACTTCTACATTCAAGCATCTGGTGGTTGGATTTTAACTCCCCTAGGGCTTCTATCCAGATGCTGGCTGGCAGGTCCTGGGGGTTAAAGTCTGACACATCTGAAGAACACCCTGACTGGGGAAGGCTGACCTTTGTTATAGGACAAAGCCCAGGGCGGCCGGGGGGGGGGGTTATTAGGGAAAGTCCCAGACCTCAGGAGGTCACTGTGCCTCAGATAGGCNCATTTAACAGAACATGACACTTATTCCTCAAATGTTTTACAATTTATACAAATTACTGGACTTTACAAATAGTCCTATGCCTTTATAGGTAGTCCCTGCTTAATGACTGCCTTGGACAGTAACCAAGTAACTTTGTGACCAATGCCTGCATTTACAATTTGTGCAGGGCTAAAAAGCAAAGGAAAGCTGAAGTAAAATAATAAAAACAATCATGGTCATATGATTTTAATTTAGAGACCACTTAAAGTCTCAACTGTAGTCACTAAACAAGAACTACATGTAATTCAATTCATGTCCTCAATAGGGAACGGGGTTGGGAGTTCGGTATTATGGCTATACTTTGAACAGTGTGTACCATAGTATTACACAGAGGTTTAAGCTGAAGTCCTGTACCTTCTCTTGAATATATTGAACCATTTCTGGGAATGAAGGCATCTGTTTATCAGCACTTTCCTTTTCATTTTTACCAGGAAATGTTCTCAGAGCACGTTGTGCTTCTCCATGTACTTCTTCCCGCCTTTCAAAAATTAAAATACAACATTTTCATATATGCACAAGCAAATAGAACCTTTTCTCCATCAGCCTCCCAAAATAATATTAATTAATATGTCAGCTCATATTAATGCAAGGGCTGTTTATATTCTGGATTTGATTTCAAAAAGGCAATTCAGAATGTAGATTGTAGCACCTGTCTGCAACTCTTTAAAGTAGCTGCATCCTCTCCTGGAATCATACATAATTCAAAGAGGGAAGCCATGGAATTCTAGGAAAAGACACTTCTTTTCCATTGGGCTCCCTTGCATTCCAAAATACATTGCTTGAAATGTTTTCCACAGGATTGCACAACCCTAAGAACCAATTATTTAGCATCACACGCACAAACAAGAAACAGCCAGGATCCTCTTTCTAATGTCTTCTTATTTGGACACTGGCTAACAATAAACTAAACTTTGGTTTGGTTCAGTAGACTCTAGACTTATCAAATCTTAACAGAGACATTAAACAAATCACCCATGACTTAAAGCTGATTTTACTTACAAATTGACTTTAAAAAATACCTCTCTCATAAATGTAAGCTACTTTTGAAAATGCAAAAATAAAAATGTATTCTGATTTATTCATTGTGCCAGCTGCAATAAAGAGGAAGACATTTTTAGCAGATACATAATTTAAATTCCTAGCTTTTATTATATAGGAACTGGGACATTGCATTTTTCAGACTTTTTTTATTTTGACAAAACCTTATAGAAAAGATTTCTTGGTGTCCAAAGTCCAAAGTCCAATTGTTGATGCAAGGTGAGGTTTAGAATTTAAAAATTTGGACAAAGAGTAAACCAGATATTATTATGCCTGGTAATCTTGAGCAATGTGTTGCTAAATTAAATAAACATTTTATCTGATCTAGCAAAGCTTTCTATATTCCAAAATACAGCAAATATTATTTCCGTTTCTACTCATAGGTTGGACATCAGTGCTTTGCTTCTAATTTTTCTACCAACTTTCTAAACCACTCATACAACTCTGAATACCATTTATTAGACACAATCTTATGAAAATTGTTTCCATGGTTTTACTATTTCCACAGGTCTAAAGGGGTCAGTAACCTTTATGATTTTGGCCTACAATGTTAGTTTTGGACATAACTTTAGCTATTATTTTCTCATCTTCATCAGCTTCCTACAGATCTTTCATTCTTTAAAACCTAATTATTATATGTTCAACCATGCCTAATGGCCCCAATTGGGAGTAGGATTGCAGTCATAGGTTGGGTGGTTGTAAAGCAAGACTTCACAGGACCACACCAATTTACAATGGCAATCCCAGCACTCCCCACTGCAGTTAAATGAGAAATGCAGGTCATTAATCAAATACTCACTCCTGGCCAAGCTATTCCAGCCTTGGTCCCTTCTAGGCCTGAGTCTCAATAAGATAAAGGACTGCCTCCACCTCCACCTCCCCACCATCTTGTTGTTGTAGTTGCGAAGTCGTGTCCAATCCATCGCGACTCCATGGACAACATTCCTCCAGTCCTTCCTGTCCTCTACCATCCCCCGGAGTCCATTTAAGCTCACGCCTACTGCTTCGGTGATTCCATCCAGATTCTCTGTTGTCCCCTTCTTCTTTTGCCCTCAATCTTTCCCAGCATTCTTCTCCAGTGAGTCCTTCCTGCTCATTAGGTGGCCAAAATATACTTTGGTATACCACAAGTATACAAAGTATACTCTGGCCACCCCACTGCCCCTAATCTATCTCCCTTTATTTGTTCCGTTTGGGGCACCTGCCTTGCAGAGTGGCAAGAAGCCCCAGTTGTCTTCTTCTGTCTATGTCGAAAGCTATAAATATTAGCTTCAAAATCAAAGGTGATACTATTTACTAAAAGACTTTCCAAATATCTTTTTAATTATCGTCTACCAGGCCAGGCTCTGATAGTGATGGTGGAAGCAATTTTTGAGATAAAGCAATGAGTTTTAGATTTGATATACAAACTGGCATCAATAACATGTACTAACGGTGTGTGTCAAATATAAATAAAGATGCAAAGTAAGTTTCCAAGGATCAATATAATCCCATACTATATGTTTGAAAGACTTGATGTCTAAAGTATGTCAATTAAAAGACAGCCAGTTCAGTATAATGGTTAAGGTGCTGGCCTAGCAACCATAGTTCCAGTTCTGCCTTAGGCAAGAAAGCTGGCTGAGTAACTATGGGGAAGTTACTTTCTCTTTCATTCCAATTCACTTCATGGGGTTGCTGTTGTGGGGGAAAGAGGAGAAGGTGGAAGGATTATGTGCATTCAGTGATTTGAGGTGAAATAATAAAGGCATAATAAAACTCTAATAAATGAATAATGTTTTACACAACAAGTAAAATGGGTATCAATTGAAGTAATAGTTTAAAAGACTCAAAATAAGAATTACTGATCCCTATTTAAGATATTGTTATATAACATTAGCATTTTATACCCAGCCTATAATGCAATATTAAACGTACGGATCTCCTGCAGCTAGAAGTAGCAAGTATCGTGAAGGAATGTGATCAGAAGGAAACACTGTGCTGGCAAATTTTACAGCTACTTGGCGGACTTGGACTTGAGGCTAAAAAAAAAAGGCAGAAAGACAAAGAAATAATCAGAAACAAACTATTTACCAAATCAGGCACTTACATACAATATTCAAAATACTGTATGCACCCAAAGTAAAATGGCAGGTGCAAAAAGGTCTCATTTATAGCATGCTTTGTTTCATAGTTACGATTTTAAAAAAATATTTTTTCCTGAACCTCCTTTAATGACTTAGGCATTAATTATATGTTGCAATTAAACAAAATAATATGAAAAAACCTCTTTGTGAATAAATAATAGATCTCTGCTCATGCATAGTTTACCTGACAAAGAACAGATTATTGAAGATTCTTTCTCAGGAATCAACATTTCTCAATATTTGAAATAGCACACATAATTATTTTTACTGCTCCCTTGGTGCAGCAAGAGCAAGCACAACCAGGTCAGTAATTATAGGTGTGATGCAACACAATGTAAAACACAGTATAGCATCTTATGTCGGCCATAAAATGTTCAGGTTTCCATGATATAATTGAAGGGTTAAAAATGTGCTGATGCTGGCTTTATATGTAGTTCTAAAAGTAGTCTTTAACAACATATTGCATAGATCAAATAATGCCTGTATGCGGTCAACTGGCATTATTTGTGACTCCACTTATTAATATATTTTTAAAGAACAATTAATATGCAATTATTAAAGTGGAAGTTCCATAATAAAAAACATATTGTTCATGTATACAGTATGATAAACTAATTTTAAGCAACATGATTCCCTCTTAATGCACTGGACTATAATCCCCAAAATCCTTAGCTGAAATTTCTATATTGCCTGGAAATTCTAAAAAAATATAAACCAACATAACTGACTGTATACATGTATGTAGATAATGAAAAAACAAGGAATAGAGACAAGAGAGGGAGAAAGAGATTTTTCTTCTCCTAGTTGCATACCATAAATTAATATAACCATTCTTATGTACAAGGGATTCAAGGAAAACTAAGCCCAGGTTTTCACACTCCTTTCATATCCTGGTGACTTACCTTGATTAGGTTAGAGGCTACAAGTGCCTCCATGAGAGTACGAGGTGCTCCTTCTAAACTGGTGTATGCACCAACCATCATGGATAGAGCTTCCTGAATAGCTAGTCTGGTATCAGGGTCTTCCTGAAATGATATGTAGGTATCAATATCTAATAAGTATTCCACAAATAAGGATAAAAACCTTTTAGATAAACTCTTTGGTAAAATTAAAATAAAATCACCAACCTTAGAAAGAGCTTCAAAAAATTGTTGGACCAGTGCAAGATCCTTGGTAAACAGTTGAGGTATTCGGCTGGAAAAAAGTATTTTTAAAAGGATTTTATTTGAAACAAAGTAGGAATTTCAGTTAACTTATTAACTAGACATTTTCTCAAATGGTATTTCTCATATACTAGTTATTTTGTTCTAATGGAAATTTGTAAAGTGCCCCAGAATTATTAACTTCTGTTTATATGTTACATTTTGAGATTTTTATGTCAACACCAAAAATATTGGGTTCCAAAATGTTAAATACCACATGTTACTGAAGTAAAAATAAATTGTTTTCTGATTCACCACTACCGGTATTTCGTCTTTTGGCCAAACCATGTGATTAGGACTTTAGAAGCATTACCAATTAAAATTCCTGGCACTGGCCTTCTGAAGTTCATCACAATTCATTCTTCTATGTACTCCCACTTAACAGAAAAATGGCTCTGTAGTTGTAAAATCTATCCTGACTGAAGAATCCATTGTACTCTTAATTCAGCCTTTCCCATTTGTTTCCTATCATTTTTCAGTTATCTCATTCACACAATCAGGATCTCCTACTTTTTCTTCATATTGGAATGACCACCTTTCATTTCAGAGCTTTATCCCATCTAGCCCCTAATTTATGGAATCAATTCCCACCCTTAAACTATATTTGGATCTCATACCTTAAGATATAAAAAGGTCCTTAACATGCTAGTTAAAGTATCATAGCACTGAGATTAGATGTTTAAATGGATTTCTGTTCTGTTTTGTGGTTTTTATCTCATATTATACTGCACCTAGATTAAAAACTACTAGTAACGATTAAAATACCTAAACCCATTTTTGATCAACGAAAAGGTTAAAATAACAATGTGCAGATGAATGAAAAATGATAGGAAACAAATGGGAAAGGCTGAATTAAGAGTACAATGGATTCCAGTTTTCCGTTAAGTGGGAGTCAGATAGTATAATTTATCTGTATTGCTATATTGTTAATAAACCTAGGATTGCAACTTAAAACTGAGAGATAGCTATTTGTCCTGCTATGCAATCCTTTACATGCTTGCTTTGAAATGCATCCCATTCTGTTTATATTATATTGAGATTGTTTAGGATTGCAGATAAGGATGAGAATTTAGTAGCTCGCTATCTTTAATTATTTGCCCTTTTTGCACTATTAGCTCTCAATCAGAATAATGTCAGACGCTAATAATTTATATTTGCACATAAAATAGACTTACATGGGCTTCCCCCTACTTAAAAGGCGCTCTGAGTTTGAGGCTTGGTTACTACATGGACATGCTTGTTCATTACTATAGCAACAGCACTTATATACTACTTTACAGTGCTTTACAGTGCTTTCTAAGGAGTTTACAGAGTCAGCATATTGCCCCCAACAATTTGGGTCCTCATTTTACCCACTCAGAAGGATGAAAGGCTGAGTCAACCTTGAGCTGGTGAAATTTGAACTGCCAAATTGCAGGCAACTGGCAGTCAGCAGAAGTAGCCTGCAGTACTGCACTCTAACCACTGTGCCACCACGGCTCATAATTATTCGATAATTAATAACATATGATTCTGGTTATCTCTCTGAGATCAGCCAAATGAATAACTGTTGTGAAGATTTATACTTTTCCTAATACTGAGCAAAAACAGTTTAAAAAAAGAATATAACCAGCTCAATTTTGACAGGCCTTTTTAAGGACAGTTTTTACATTTGGAATTCTTTAGCATGATGTTGCTGTCTTTACTCCGATTAAATTTAAATGTGTACCACTTAAGCAATGTAGAGAACAATCCATTTTTTCAATTTGATTCCTCCTTTTCTTAAAAATTGATTATTTCTAGCATTCACCTTTCCAAATATTTAATTTATAATTCTAGAACTGTCAAAAGATAGCATCTGATCAACCCTTTACACTAAGACAACCTGCTTGCTTGCTGACAGAGTAACAATTGTTTTAGAACAATCAACTGACATTTCACCAGTCTAAATGCAATTTTGTTACCTGGAAAGTTTTCCAACAGCAGAATAGGCCATTGAAAGCAGTTTGGGATCCTTCAATTATTAAAAAAAAACTGTGAGATAAGCAAAGAGCTATGAAAGCAAAGAGACAATATACATTCATGTTTATCCTGACAATTATGTTTCTGTCGTGTGATCTGTATTCATATTAAAATATGGTTCACAGACACAAAACATTCTAAAAGTTGAATAATCTTAAAACAGGCCTGTTTGTTACTGTTAAATAGATGGAATTGTGTTCTATAATTATAACACAAAAATAACTGCATCACATAGCAATAAAATTACTTCTGACTTCTTTCATAGAAGAGAGTGGGAAGTACCCAACTGCACATGAAGACAGACACTATGTCAATGCCTTAGAGCAGTGATCCCCAACCCCCGGTCTGCGGAGTACCTGGCACCGGGCCGCGCAGTGGCCGGGGGCCATGATCGCTGCAGAGGCCGGGGGCCATGATCGCTGCAGCGGCCGGCCGATTCCTGAAAAAAACCTGAGCGCCTGCGCAGCTACGTAGGGCTAGCGTAGACAGCGCTAGCAGCGTAGCCTTGCGGAAGCGCAGGGTGTGCTACGCTATACACGCTAGCCATACTGAACTGCGACTGCGCAAGG